CAGGTCGCCCTCCCCCAGCCCCAGCAGCCTTCCGACGAGGCGGAGCCGCGCTGTTGTGCTCTTCCCGGCAGTGCCCACCGGAGCCCCGCCCCTCAGCCTGGAGCCCTGCCCCTTCCTGCCCTCAGCGCCATAGTGCCGGGGCAGAGCGAGGCGCTGGGCCGTGGTCAGCTCTAGCCCCGCCCCGGAGCGTGACTAGAGACCGCCCCCACTTCCTGCCCTCTTCAGCCGGGGGAGCGCATGCGCAGGCGGTTCAGGGTGGGTTTTGGTCGAACGTTCGACCTGCCCCGCCTGCGAACACCCGGTGTAGGAGGGCGTACAAAGGATCTGACTTGCGTGATCTTTTCAACTCTCGTACGATCATCAATACTAGTAAAAGTATTTAAAACGTACAATACTTTTTGAGGCAGCTGATTGTTGCAGCATGTGCAAAACCCAACTCACTCTCAGGGAGGCTAAAGTGATTTTTGAGGGAGGTTTTTTTTATATAGTATCTTCTTTATATAGTTTGATCTGGGGGGTTGCAGATCAAATGAGCCAAATCACATGGTTGGAGTTCTGCTCAACTGATAGGATTTGGAACAGGTTCAGCTATTTGGTTCTGAAACCCGTATCTGTTGAGCAGGGAGAACTTGCTCATTCTAAGCACCACAAATGGGGCTAGAACCCACGAGCATCCTCCACCCTGGACTGCGCACCCTGGGATTCAGATGCTCCCAGTCCTGTTGGCAGGCATTCTGTGTACAGGCTCAAGCTCAGAGGTCTTGGGGTTTGGATGCCCCCAGATTTAATTTATTAGCAAATGTTAAGAATTGTAGAATAAAAATGACAAAGCCATAAGGGGAATACAGAGTGCCCAAGCAAGGGGCTAACAAGAGTGATGGGGGTGAGGAGAGGAACACAACCAGGTTACATAATTACAATGTTAGCCATCTAAACCCAGGGGGTGTGGGGGCTGGGGTGGGGGTACCGGAGGGAGGAGGTCGCTACGCTGAGAGAGAAAGAAGATAGGTACAAAACCCCCCTAACAGAAGTCTGCAATGGTGGAGGGGGTAGGTTGAACAAAGGAAGTTAGTCAGTCCATAGTCCTATTGCAGGGGTCCTTGTCAGGTAGAGTGGCGTGGCCCGTGGTTTGAGAAATAGCTCTCAGAGTCCATCAGGAGCAGAGGGGGCTTCAGACAGTCCTCTCTGGGTCTGGTCCGGTGGCAGTCGGTCTGGTGAGGTTAGTGTACTGGCGCTGGCCCATGATGTGCTTGATGTAGATGTTTCAGAACCAGCGGATGGCGTCAGACCAGTGGATGGCATCAGCTTGGCGTAGTGGTGGGAGATGCGGCAGGCATGCAGGACACTCTTGTTGCTGGGGTCCCAGGCTCCAAGTGCTCCCACAATGAGCACGTCCATCACCATGTCATAGCCACGGTTCCTCAAGATGTTGGCCAGCGGGGCATACTTCTCCCACTTGCAAACCTGGGTGTTGGTGAAATCTTGGCATCAGTTCTCAAAGGGGATGGTTATGTCCACGATAATGATTTTGGCCTCCTTGTTGGTGATGACAAGGTCAGGGTGCATCTGGCTCTTGCAGCCCGGGACGACGCAGTTCACAGAGATCTCCCCTGCTGTGGCTGGGATGGCCTTCACCAGGCGGTCCTGGACAGTGTTGTGGTGGAGCTGCCAGGCTCTGGCATGCAACTTGCAGGTGCACAACACCTGGGGGAGGGTCTCCATCTTGTAGCCACACCATTGGCACCTCTTGTCCTGGTGGCCATAGCAAACAGCCTCATTCAGAAGCAGGTAGTTGAGGCAGGTGCAGTGGAGGAAGCGCCAGTCTGCAAAGCTACTGCTGGGCATGAAGTGGTTGTTGGAGTCCGACCTTGAGGTGACATCGAAGACCTTGCCCTGGTTCAGGTTTGGCCTTCTGGTTGCCAGCGTACTTGTTGTGGATGGTGTCCTTCAGGAACCATTTCAGGAAGGTCCTCGTGGGGCATCATGGTGACACAGTTGGCATGTGGGGCCGGCGTCAGCGAGACTCCCAGTGCTTCTCAATCCAGGTTCAGGCACAGCCAATGCACTTCCCAAGGTGGCATATGGCGTTGCAGGCTCAGCTCCACAACAAGGAGAAGCCACCTCTGTCTCTGCTGAACTCGCCATCTAGTGAGTCGATGAGGAAGGTGGCTGTGTCACGTCTGCTGGGTTGCCTTGCAATCCTCTTGCAGGCGGTCATCTTGGGGGTGCTGGTGGCAATGATACTTACCATCGGGTCTGGGTAGGTCAGAAGGCAGTAGGTGTGGGTGATGATTGCAGTGTCACACAGGTACATATCCTCTGTCCCAGACTCTTTAGTCCAGGGCTTCAGGTGCTCCCTACACTAAATCTTGGGTGACAAGAGGCTGAGAAGGCAATTAACACTTTTTTATGGCTGTTTGCCTCAGAATAAATGCTTCAACTATGATGACCCAGTTTTCACTCACTGCTGAATTATAGTGAGCAATATAAAGGAAATAAGAATGAGACTTATTTGCATGCTATTTTGCATATTTATTCCCATACTTGTTTCCATACTCTCCAGTGTACGGTAGTTTTTCAGCAAATAAAATAATTCTGAGCTTCCAATACGATAATTTCATATTTAAGACCTAGTAGACCTGGTGGGGAGGGAGG